ACTTTTTCAACTACAATTGTGATTTGGAGACAAATTTTCTTTCTCTGGAGACCCTCTAATTTTCAGTTCTACTCTTTGCTGCTAATAGGATGTTGTCCAATAGAACTTCTATGACAGTGGAAATGTTTGGATCTGCAGTATTGTATTCGCAAGTCTCATGTGACTGTTGAACACTTAAAATGTAGCTAGTGCAACTGAGGAATAGGATTATTAATTTTCATTAAATTAAATTGCTAAATGTAGAGCTCATGGCTATTAGAATTGCACAACAAAAGACCTAGACTCACCTTTTAAAGAGAAGTAAATTCCAAATGAATTTTAGCCACAAATGGATCTCCTTGGGTAAAATATAGTATGCCACAATGTTTCTTGTGAAATCCTATTATGTCCCTTCATTGCTGAAGCCAGTAGTTTTACCCAGCATTGCTATAGCCTGTGTACTATTGTTACTTAGGATATGCACAAAGGAAACTAACAGATCACATCTCCAGGAAGCTCTGAAGACTTCTCCCAGAAAGTAACTTTTGAATTTAGTCTTAAAGGAAAGGAGGTTCATGCTGGTTTTGAGGAAGGGTGAGCTAGGGATAGTTTAGACAGAAATGAGAAAAAACTGTTGCAACCAGGGAATACCTGATAATTCATTATAACTGGCAAACAAAGTATCTTTGTAAAAAGCAGGAAAGGAGATTGAGCATTTTGGAAAAATAGAATAGTGGATGTTTTAAAATAATTGTAAAATGTATGCCCAAATATTGGGTTTAAATTTATATAGCTTCATACCTGAAATGGCTATTCTATCACATATACTATTATTTTCTTTTCATTCATTTTCCTTTTTACAAGCATCATTTATGTTTTAATCATTAACTAAAGCAACTAAAATTGCAGCTTTGTTACTTAAATTTATTACTTGGACAAGATTGAGATTTAGGAAATTTATTGCCATGATGTCACCAATGGTTTATAATTTATAAAACTTTGGATTAGACATTAGCACAGTTATTATTTCCTCTAATGCCTTACCTCACCACAGTCTTAATAACATTCAGGAAATCCAAAAGACAAAGGGAAAAGAGTGATCTTGAAAGCTAAAAATAGTTGCTGAAAACTGATGCAATCATGTAATAAAATATGGTACAATAACATATGATATATTCATAGTATCTGCTAAAGCAATTAGAATCCATGCAGCTCGATTTCTGTTCATGTATTACTAAAAATGAAAACTATTTCAGCCCAAGTAAGACATATAAGCTATTTAGTTTTAATTGTATACATTGGTCTTAAAATTTCTGGTCTTATTACTTGCATATGTAATCTATTTAACACTCTTTAAAACAGAGAATCATTGAATAGCAATCAGGTTTCAAAAAGCCTGCCAAGTACAGGCAGACAACTGTCTGTGTGTTTTGCTAGATATGACAACATAGAATGTACAGTTATATTAACAAGGGCTTCTTTTCCAAGGCGTCAGTATTTTCATACATATACTAGGTCTTGCTCATAAGATAACAGAAACAGCAGTATTGGTGTCTCTCAATATTAATCATATTAAGTTTATCAGATATATTAAATGACTAGTCTTTTTTTTAATTGACAAATTTTATACATATTACATTTAATTTTTTTTTTGGTCAAAAAGCTTTTGAATGAACTCTGGTCTAGCTATAGGAAAAAATAATTTTCAGTGCATTTTGTGAGTCCAAAGTATTAACATATTTTTAGACACAGGTCTTAATTTCCACTGATGAAATTATAGGCAGACATTTCCACTGTAGCATGAAAGATATTAATCACTATAGGAAAGAATGATTTTATTTTGGTAACTACAAACAATGAAAAAAATAAATTAACAAATTTTTTTGGGGCATTCTAAGTGTTTTATATACATTCTTACAATAAATATTCATAATCAACCCTATGAGATTTTCCTATTCTCCTTATAAAAGGAATCTGAATTTCAGAATGGGTTAGGGGTTGCCTGAGGCCCAGATAATAAAAGGCATGGCCAGGGATAATACCTGATTTCAGTAGCCTTAGACTTCATTACTTGGAAAAGGAAATGGCAACCCACTCCAGTATTCTTGCTGGAGAATCCCCAATGAGCAGAGGCGGCTGGCGGGCTACAGTCCATGGGGTCGCGAAGAGTCGCACATGACTGAGTGACTGCACAGACTTCATTATTATGTGTAACAGGTATGGGTTTTACACTACACATATTTGTAGGTAAGAAATATATTTTACTTTCCTACTTAGAAATCAAATTATAATTATTCCAAGCCTCCATATCACTAGGCTGGAAAAGAAATTCAGTGTTACCCTTCAGTAGAATCATATAAGAATATAGAATAATTACATGGGAGAAACACAGAAATTTGAGGAAGAGTTCCATTTAAAGGAAGAAAGAAGGAAAGGAAAAGGGAGCTGGCTTTGAACACATTACCTGATACCATGGCAAAGTATAGTTTTTCCTCTCTTAAACCATAACTTACATGCTTAACCTTTCTTCCTATGAAGTCTAATCCTTTACCTTGTAAATCAAATGTTAAACACGAGGCTGCAATACTTCTCTATACCTTGGCACTGTCCTATTATTATTGACACATGATCCCAGTCATCAAGTGTCTCATATTTTGAGGGATAGCTCCTCTATCTTAGTCAGTATAATACAATGTCTTATGAGGACAAGAAATTTATATGTATATTTATAACAATATTTTTAGTCACACTGTCACTTCCACCTGCTGCTTCCTCTAACCTGTGAGGATTAGTAACACAGATTTTAATATTTTCTATCATTGTGGCAGTAGAGTATATATCAGTTACTGATTATATTTCTTTTGTATTATTTCCTAATTTTTATCAAAATGTATCTAAATATTTGGTAAACTTCTATGCTTTTTCTTAGTATATTGTAAGATATTTCATACCATAATTTTAATATTCAAGTGCCTGTGACAAATGTGTTTTTGTAAATAATTTTATAATTTGGTGACTTATGTAATGTTTTAAATAATATTTCTTTCAAGTTCTGCTAGGAAAGTTTGCCCACAATGGTAATAACTTGTGTTAAATTTTCATATTTTTGTTGTTTTAATATGAGCAATATAATAGAATAAGAATAAATTGTGCCGTTTTGCTGCTTTAAAAATATTTTATTCCAGTTTTTTAATCATCACAATAAGCATTTAAGATTAAATATCCTTATCAACATTAACTTTTAGAAACCTAAGGTTCAGAGATATTGGTTGCCCATCAAAGAACAAGAGCTCACCTCACTGACCCGACTGGACCTGCCTCCTAACTCACTGCCATTCCCACTGTGTGTACGCATGCATTCTCAGTTGCTCAGTTGTGTCTGACTCTTTGTGACCCCATGGACTGTATGTAGCCTACCAGGCTCCTCTGTCTGTGGGATTTCTCAGGCAAGAATACTGGGGTGGGTTGCCATTTCCTTCTGCAACTTAATGCAGTTCTGAGAAACCCCATAAAATGTTCACGTTGTAAATTTTAGAACTCAGCTAAAGAACCAACCAGTGGGCTTCCCTGGCGGCTCAGTGGTGAAGAATCCACCTGCCAATACAGGGGACGAGTTCAATCAGGAAGATCCCCTGGAGAAGAAAATGGCAACCCATTCTTGGCTGGGAGAACCCACGAACAGAGGAAACTGGCAGACTGCAGTCCATGGGGCTGCAGAAGAGTCAGACGTGACGTAGTGACTAAACAACACGGAACAGTCATTGCTAGGAGATAGCTATTTATCAAGCACAGACCAATGTAAGGAATGCGTAGATATGGTAATTCTCACACTTAAAGTAATAAAAATGGAGAATACTTTTGGCTTACTTCCTTTTTTACTCTTCTTCCCTAATTCAAATGAGTTTTAAGAGTCATAATTTGAAACTTTGCCATTAGCTCCATCAGAAATATTAAATGTTAAATAAAGTGATGTGTATTGGCCATAAAATGAACACCATTTATTATTCTAAGAATATAGAAAATGCTTTTATGTGAACAGTAGAGAAATTGCCAAAAAAGCAATCTTATTTCAGTCTGTAGACAAGTTAATGTGCTACTGGAAAATGCATACATAATTCTGACCTAATTAATTTCAAGAGCATTTATTTGCTTCTGAAAAGAATACTCAGAAAACCCCCCACTTTATTCCACTGTCTTAAAGAAGTCTCACATTCTGAGGACAGGGTCTTAGGCCTGAGTTTGTTACCTCCTTATTAAGGCCTTTGTTGTAGTGCTTTCTGGCATACTTCCTACCACAGTCAAATGTTCACTTCAGTTTCTGGGTGCTTGAGCCTCAAGTGAGCAGACTTCCTTGTGATAAAATGTGTCACCTTTGTGCTTATTGTCCTAAGAAAACCATCTCCAGGCACACCTGCCTTAATAAATAATTTGATATTTCCGGCTTAGAGAAATTGATAAGGATAGTTTCAGGTACCTTCTACCTTCCAAGGTGACTAATTTAAAAATGCTTGAGAAGCTTGTAAGCATCAAAGTTTTAGGAATAACAGAGTGGAGGATGTGGCTGCTATGACTACTTCCTTCTGGAAAGTACATACAGAAATGTGAGATAGTGTATCTTCTTACAGACATCTAATATAGTGAGTTGCTGTTTTTCCTCTATGTGAAGGAAGTAAAGGAGTCATTTTGTTTAAATTTAACATTCTTTCAGGAGCCATTACGGTAGCTCTTGGCATACTTATGTGATAAAATGATCACTCTACTCTTATTACTTCATGCTCTGTCCTTTAGGATTCATTTATACACTTACTTGCAACATGGTAAATGCCACTGAAAACCACCAAGCTAAACAGACATTTGTCTAATGATATCTAGTTTTTACCCCACTTAAGTTCCATCTCTAAAGATTACACAAATAATAATGTAACTTGATAGTGCAGAAGAATGCTCAACCTTTCTATGATTAACTGGCATATTAGAATACTTTTATTATAAATAAATTGAATTCTTTTTCTTTTCTACAGGACAACATTTTTAAGCTGCAAGACTCACATTTTGAAAATGGCCGTGGGAAGAGCCCATATGACCCTAAACTGCTGACGGCATCTCTTTTAATAGGTACTTAATCAGCAATCAGTTAAACAGTAAATTTTCTGTAGATAATGGCCAGATATCATGTTCCTTCTTATATACCAACATTTTCCTTTATTAATCGTAAAATCTTCAGAGTATGTCAGTTGAGATATTTTCATGTATTTTGAAAATGACTAAGAAGTACTAAATTCTGCTTTGATTTTTGAACTATCTAGTCTATGATTCTTTTTCATCAAAATGATTTAATAGTATCTTTAAAATTGCCTGCCCAATCATGTATATCCCCACTGTTGTTGTTGTTTAGTTACTGAGTCACGTTTGACTCTTTGTGACCCTTTGGACTGTAGCCCAACAGGCTCCTCTGTCCATGAGATTTCCCTGGCAAGAATACTACAGTGGTTGCCATTTCTTTCTCCAGAGGATCTTCCCGATCCAGGGACTGAACCTGCATCTCCTGCATTGGCAGGCCGATTCTTTACTGCTGAGGCACCAGGGAAGCCCCACATTTCCACTAGACACTTACAGTTTTTGTGTTGTAAAAATGTGGTTTTGATTTTCTTTGTTTGAAAGAGGTGTTTCAAAGGGGGAATTTTGACAGGTTGGAAAGAAAGATTGAGATTTATTCTCCATTGTTAATTGTAGTCTCAAGATTTGTAACACTTTTAACACTTGGACAACTTAATCAGCACAATACAACTAAATGGTAATACAATTGATAGATTCCCCCTAGCGTTACTTTGATTTGACAAAGTTCTTGTGTGTTCATCTTTTTTGACTTTAGGGCTTTTCTCTTTTCCTTTTTTTTTTTTAAATCAAACTTTCTATGTATTTCCTGTATATTTTCCTTTGACCTCTTCCTTTCTACTTTTATTCTTTCCTTTTTTCCTTAAATATTGCAGATAGGTGGTGAATGTTTAGCCATAGTTCAAAAGGATAGAAATAGAAAGAAGCAGAAGAAGGAAAAAGTTTTAGTTTGTATTGAAAGAGAATTTTTCCACAATCTTTTAACCACTCTGTACTGGGATTAAATAATACACAAAAAGTGTATTGTCATTAAACAGTTTTTTTCTTTTTTTTTTCCTTTTAATTGTTGAGTATGCCAGCAACCTGAAACACAGAAGATTCTGTTTTTAAATAATCATGTAGAAATTATGTAACTTTTTGTTTCCTTTTCCTTTTTTTATGAAACAGAGACATTATTTGATAACACAACAGCAATAATAGTGAAACTTTTCAGGTATAAACTTTCTTTTGAATTTTGAATAACATATCTAAATTTTTAAAAGGTAAATTTAGGATATTATTTGTTGTATAGTAAGTCCATAAAGTTTTCCCTCTTTTTCCTTTAAAAGATAACTTTTTTCCTCTGTTCAACAAAGTAAGACTCTGGTCACACTGTCTACAGCATTAACTATGAAAATATATTTTTCCAGTATTCTCTAGTGTTTATCATCCTTTCACTGATCCCTTTTCTATTAAGAATAAAACCATTATAGCATGAGTTATCTCTTATGCTGCTTTCGAAATGTAGACAATTTCAAACCATTTGATCCATTTATGGAGCACTTTAACAGAAGTTTAAGACCTGAAGGAATGCAGCAGATGTAACACGCTTATAATTTCCTATTCACAGATGGCCTACTGATTACGTGTGAATAACTTCCTTAAGTACACACACAGAAATTTGAAAAGTGTCTTAAACAAAGGAGAGGAGTCCTATTTTGTTTGAAATTGTAGCCTCTACTTGTTTAGATTGCACACTGCAAGCAAAAAGAGAGAGAGAGAGTTCTCAGAAGGCAGTATATAAAACTGTACCTAGAACAGCTTCAATTTGTGGCGTGTGTCTCATAGCGATCTGCCTGATTATTTATTTAAATATTCCGCTGAGAAAGGATGATGACAAGTAAGTATTACATAGTTCATATGGTATGCAACCACACAATGGCCACGAAGAGTATGAAATGCCACAGTTTTGATGTTATATTAGAACTTCTTTGAAAAAGTTGAATGGGTTTGTGAAAAAGAAAAGAGAGTGAGGGAAGTTGCATGAATCTTGAAGAAGGAGGTATGGCTAAAAAGAGAAGCAGCTTTCAAATGGAAGCCCAGATCTCACCTAGCCAGTGCTGTACAGTGATTGAATAATTTTCAGAGATATTTGCTGCTTATTGACAAAGAAGATGATTCAAGCCAATGTAAGATCATTTCTGAATCAGTTGAATAGCAGGATGCAGAAAAATGAGCAGGCCATACTATACATAGTAAAATCCCTCAAAATATTTGCAGCGCCATGTTAATTCAAAAGCTGTGATTTCCTTTATTGAGGTTATTTGCTTCTTTTAAAACTATGCTATAAATTCTTCCTCTCACAGTATATTTAATTCCCCTTGTTGGGTTCCTCTTGGCATTTTTTATTTTGCTGCTTTAAAAATATTGTTTAGTAATTTAATGGAGTTCTTTTAACATAAATATTTTCTACACTTCCCAAACTTTTACATAAAAGTCACTGAAATATACAGATTGTACACTGTACATTTAAAAAAATGGCTTTGGGGAAAGCTTTCCAGCCAAAATATTTTAAATATGCTCTCCTCATTTTTGCACATAGAAGAAATTTTCAAGGTGGTTCCAGGATGCCTCTTTCCCCAATACTGGGAAGAAGAATAGTACTTTCAGCTCAAAATACTTGTAAACTGGCTAGATGGATCTTAACAGCAGATACGTTTATATCCCCAATCCTTCTGCTAGGTAGTTTTAATGTGTAGTAAGCTTTAGAACCAGATGACCACTTAAAAACTTTGGTTTATGAAATCTGTAAGAGTTTAATATAACCTCTTCCCAAACTGCCTTGCGTTTTAAGCTGATAACTATAGAAAAGATGAACCTTTCCTGAGCAATGCATAGTTACCCAGTTCAGTCCCCCAGGTCTATAATACGTCCCAAAGTTTTCAAATCACCTTAGTATTAAATTAAATTTTTCAAATCTACTTTAATAAAGGGCTTCCCAGGTGACTCAGTGGAAATGAATCCTCCTTCCAGTGCAGGAGACGAGGGTTCGATCCCTGGGTTAGGAAAATCTCCTGGAAAAGGGAATGGCTACACACTCGATTATTCTTGCCTTGAGAGTTCCAGTACAGCCTGGTTGGCTACAATCCATGGGGTCTGAAAGAGCGCAACATGACTGAGCAGCTAAAACACATACATGCGCGTGCGCACACACACACACACACACACACACATGCACACACGCGCGCGCACACACACATGCACACACAGGCGCACACACGCACACTTTCATAATATGAAAGGAGCAGTCAACTTGAAAGCAGTTTTATCTTTCTGAAGTCAGTCATTCCATCTTTAACATATTATGAGGACCTGCTTCAAGAGTTTGGGACTTTACGAATGGTTTATTTCCCTAAGTTAGCATTCTGTCATGCCTCAGGAAAGAACATAATTTGACATTAGAATATTCTCTCACTTGGTATTAGAGTAAATGAGGTACTCCCCAAATTAATTAACTAAAATTGAGAAAATTATTTGAAGTCTCTGTTTCTTTGTATAAAATGGCATGGCCATGCAAGTTCCACTAGTTTGTTGTTAAGATTTAAATAAGACAATGTAATAGCATACTACATTTAGGTATGTGCATATTTCTGGCATATATATGTAAAATAGAAACTAAAAAAAAACAGAACTAGTAATAGTGGTTGCCTGTTGGGATAAATTTTATATTTTTGTTTATCATTTACATTTATAACTATTTAAAGAATGATGTTAATTTTAAAGGGACAATATGAGTAACAAACCCAGTATTTTCATTGGTATAGAAAAGGTGCTCAATAAATGTGAAAATGCAAAAGTATTCCAATACCCTTTCACTTTCACAAAGTAGATTTCATCCATGCCATGTGGTGTCAGTGTGTATGTGTGTGAGTGAGTGTGTGTGTAAGAAGAGAGAGAGACATTTTTTCCTGCCTCTGTTTCTAATTACTCTGCTATTCTGTAAGTAAAATTTGCTTAAGGTGTTAACAACATAATGGCTTGGTCTTTAGGTTTGTTTGATTTTTGCTCACATCCATGTCACACTTTACACCTGTGTTAGTAATGCTGTTATTTCATCAGGAAATCTTTTTTTTCCACCTTCTGTTTCTTCTCACCACACCCTTCTTAGGAATTGTAATCCAATACATTAACTGATCTAAGCCACGTTTTTACTTCATTTTGAGCTGTGAACACAAAATACAGAGTACACATGAACTTTTGTTTTTTAACACTGCTTCTCAGGTAACACTGCCATGGTGGGAATACGGTCCACTAAAATTTTTTGTTCATCTCAGCAAAGAATCCTTTCTTTAGAGATAGGTAAGAAAGCTTACAGTTCAGAAAGAATGGCATATACTCAAATAGCAACTTTCATATTTGACAGTTTCTAGCATGTTATTTATATCCATAAGCACTAATTTATCTTAGTCTGATATATTTTTTTGAGACATCTAATTGTCTATATGGTATTTTTGTAGAAAAACTTAAAAATTTTTTGGACAGAGTATCTGCAACCACTTTTTAAATGTGTATCACAATTCCTTGCATGTATTATTCTATCATCAATTTAATAAAATTGGACAAATATATTTTCTTTCAGTAGTAATTTAGTATATTTGGAAAACCCAAAAGTATGTATCTTAGCCATAATGCAATTTGAACCATTGTAGGCTAACCTATATTTAAGATCATAAAATTGAAAAATTATACATATAATTTGATAACTTAATAGATGACATCAAACATACAAAAAAAGCTTGGCAAATGGGCTTTTTAAATTTTTTTTTAAAAAACAACAAACATATTGTTTTCCAAATATAAGCCAGCTAAGGCATAGTAGATTTATTCAACTCAGATATTTTGTTAGATCATTTCAGATAGCTGGAGAGTATAAGTCTTTAATATAAGGTGGTAATACACAGCTATATAAATGCAATATACTCTGAGCTGATACATATCTTCTTAAAGAGAATGCAAGAGTAAGATATGCTACCATCTATACAATAGGGCCAAATAACAAAGCGGGGTTTGTTCCCCAAGGATGAGGAATCAGCATTGATAAGAATCCTATAGACCTCTGAGCAGAAAATCTGATCTAAGGCCTGGTGTTAAGGTATAGTTACTGACACTAAGCACTGACAGTATTAGAATGTGCCCTCCCGGCCACCTAATCATCTGATGACCTCCAGCTCTTACATGTTATGTTGACTCTGGCTAAAAATAGTGTTTGAGTAGGAGGTAACTTCCTATGACTGGAGGCAACTGGTGCTTTAACTGCAACCTTTCTTTGGCTTCTAAGTCAACTCTTCATAAATTATATTTTTGATAATAAATTGAGCTCTTCTACTGATGAACTCTCTACATTCTCTTGTCCCCGTACTTATCTCTTGTCAAAAGAGAAATAAAATAAGTCTTTCTGCCTTTGCACTCATTTATTTTGATTTTTTGTCCTCCTTATGTGGGAATAGATTAAAAGATAATCATGAGTTTTAACAAAGCTAAAGAAATGAATATGAGAAACAAACACCTTTCATATTCAAATAATATTTATTTGGTTGTAGTTTTTGTTATTTCATCCTCTGGAATAGAGTTTACATATAATAGCAATCATAATTATGAATTTTACTCACATTGAAAAAGCTAAATGAAAAAAAAGATTTAACTCATGATGTTCTTTACTCTTCCATTTCTGATTACACCTCTTATTAGGCATGGTCTGACAACTCTCTGATAGATAATCACTCAGTTTTCACCTTTTGATTGTTCTATTTTCACCTTTCCTTATTTTCATTACCTCACATATGGTTGAGAGGGCAGTGAGGTTCAACAAACGATTTAATGCTTTTGATTTTTTAAGGTAAAGAGGACACAGATCTTCATGTGAAAGGTGTTCCAACATGAAAATGTTTGAAATTGACTTGAACATTTCAGGTTGCTTTCACAATACATTTTAAACTAACATTCTTTTATTCATATAGATAAAAAATCACCTGAAGTTTAAAAATTCATCACATCTGTCAGTCAGTTATTTGTAAAAAGATTAAGTGTCAACCTTAACTAAAGTGTTAAGCTTATTGAATATAAGTTATATTTAAGTAGACCATCTACATTAAAATATTGCACAGTACCTTTGAAACTTGTAAATAGCTTGTTAACAGTGTTTTTGTACTTCTCAAAAATTATTATTTCTTTACCTTATGGGTAGATAAAACATTATTGCAGTATATTATTGTAAGAGCAAGTCAGGTTTGAACTTTAATTAAGTAAAGAGAAGACAAAATGTTTTTGAATCCCGAAGATACCACAATATGCAATATACATCAATTTATGATGTCAATATATTATCAGACCATCACTTTTGTCTTGATTCACAACAGTTCAGAATAAGTGATCACATTTTAAAAACTCAGTCTCTAAAAGAAGCTATCTTTTTGTTAATATTTAAAGTCATAACTGAGAGTTACTCAGTGATTCTGTCTGTGTAGCTGTCCTGTACTGCTTTGGACGTTTTCCAAAGCCTGGTGCATTCAAACACACCAAAGAAACAGAGGTTCTACCAGAGGAATTAATTTAGTTTAAGCTCAGTCATGTCCAACTCTTTGTGACCCCATGGACTATAGCCCACCGGGCTCCTCTGTCCATGAAATTCTCCAGGCAAGAATACTGGAGTGGGTTGCCATCCCCTTCTCCAGGTGATCTTCCCAATCCAGGGATAGAACCTGGGCCTTCTGAATTGCTGGCAGATTCTTCACTGTCTGAGGCACCAGGAAGCCAAATTTAGTTTGGACTCCTGAAAATGTCCATTTTCATTTCAAAGACCTTTCTTTTCAAGTGAGAATTGTAGGTGTGAATCAAGGATATCACATAAAAGATCAGATTAATACGACTTTGCAAAAAGTATTGATAACTGAGGATGTACAGAAAGTTTCTGATTGATACATACAAAAGTCCTGTGGAAATTACAGTGGTATACTAATGTTTAACTTATAATTTGTGTATGCCTACTTTGTTTTCTGAGTATTTCTCAAGTCAGTGATTTAGAAACATTAACCTGTCCAAATAATCAACAAGATAATATTAATTTTTACTGTCATTATGGTAGATTATTTGGAGAAAATATTTATTGTTTTTCTGTTGATAATTTACATAAGCAAGCAGGCAATAATGCATTTTCTGGGTGGAATAATATGAGGCATTTTTTATTTAAAGGAAAGAAAATGCCAATTTTACATACTCCAGTTTATGAAAAGGCGATATGGTATATATTTAGTATAAGAAACTTGGGGCTAAACAGACTTGAGTTTGAACTTTTACCTTGTCTTGCTAGTCATTCAGCTGAGGAAACTTGGGTTTCTTGAACTGTAAAATAAAGATAACATGTACATCATGGGGTTGTTGACAGAGTAAATGAGATAATTTGGAAGTGTCTCGCCAGAACCTGACTGCCCCACAAACCCAAATGGTATGCAGTAAATATTAAGTTCTCTTTCTCCTTGTTTCTTTTTCCTTTCTGTTCCAACCTGCTGATTATGATTCTTCCATTATTAAATTCTGTCCTAGAGTTAATTCAATTTAAGTAGAAATGAATCAAAGCACAACAGAATCTTGAGCTGTCGTGATTATGGCCTGTGTTTATCAAAATCCTCCCCCTCTTCAAATACATTTCTGTTATATTTGAGACTCTGTGGTGGACTTGTTTTATGATTGTATGACAGCTCATACCAAATTAGAATACTTTTCCCACTTGATATATTAAAAAATGGAAGGCAAGAAAATTTTAGCAAGAAGAGTATTAGTTTTCTGTAAATTATAGCAAAATTTCATTAAGTCCCAATAAAAAGGAAATATATTAGAAATTTAATTTTTTTATTAAATCCAAAAGTGTAAGTAATATTTTACAATGAGACTTTAAAAAATAAAGATATTAGAATCATAGTAGCTTTAAACATATAAAAGCAGACAGTGTGTTACATATAATTTTTGTTTCCATTAGTAATGTCCACTGAATCATATTTTACTCAATTTTTCAAAGTTAGTGCTAAATGAGTACTGAGATATTCCCTTCTACAAAGATACAAGATAAATATTAGTAGTTTTGCATAATGATGCAGAGGGTGTTATGATGGTCTTAACATGAAACTTGTACTTACTTTTGGTTTATGTTGCCTTAATTAAAGTATGTGTATGTGGATTTATTTTATCACAACACAGACGGAGAATTATACTCTGGAACAGCAGCTGATTTTATGGGGCGAGACTTTGCTATCTTCCGAACTCTTGGGCACCATCATCCAATCAGGACGGAGCAGCACGATTCCAGGTGGCTCAACGGTAGGTGCTACTACGTGCAAGAGCACAAGCGCACGCCATGGCGTCCTTGCCAGTCCGTGGAGAGCTTTTCTCCTGTTGTGCAGACAACATGAGTTGAGACTCAGTGTGCAGTTAAATTCATGGTGGTGACTTCATGGCCGTGGGTGTGAGAAAGTGGGGCAAAAAGAGAATAGAGATTAAAAATTCTGGAAAATATTTGCTTTGTGCCAAAAGTAAAGTTTCTCAGTAGTTAACGATGGAAAAAATTAGATCTGGGCTGGAGCTACGGAAGGGAGACAGTGGAAAAAGATAAGATGCCTTACCAATCTTGTCTTTCAGGGACACCACCACAAATCTCATGTTGTATTTTTTTCCTCCATACCTCTCATGTTGCCTTTAGAGCATCATATAAATTATTAAATGTTTTAAAAATTGTGCTAAACACACTACACTGAAAATATTTTTGAAACATTTGTATCATATGATTCTCCTTTAATCTTCCTAAAATTCTTTTTTCCACTTTACAGGTTGGGAAATTAAGACTAATATGTTAATCTAAGATTGCATCTACGCAGTAGTAGATTTTGGAAAAGAACCTAGTTTTTTGAACTTCAGGCACTGGTGTCACTCCTTGATCAAGCACATACATTTTAAAAAATTTTATTTTTTGAAGTGTAATTGACTTACAGTGTTGGGGCCATTTCTGCTGTACACCAAAGTGATTTGGTTATACATACAGAAATATATTCTTTTTCATATTATTATTTTCCATTATGGTTTATCACAAAATATTGAATGTACTTCTGTGTTCTATATGGTAGTTCTTTGTTGTTTATCCATTCAATATATGCTAGTTTGCAAGGCTGATACTTTTAAAATTCTTTTTTTAATATATAAATAAATTTACAAATGAAAATGATAAAATTTATATGCCTAAAATAAGTAAACACTACTTTTACTCAAATTTTAAACCAAATAATCCTTATGTAAGACTTCTATGTAGAGTTGTTTTTTTCTAAAATTTCCTTATGCATTCATCAGCGATTTTTATACAGGTCACTCAAATATGTTCATAGATGTTTTTATTATTAAATAAGGATCTCCATTTATATCTGCCCTCAATTCTATAAAATAAAGTTTCCCAGTCCCTAATCTCATTTTCAGGAATTCTCCTTTTCACATACGTCATTAATAAGGATGACGTTCATAGCTTACAATCCATGTACTCAGTAAGGTACTTGATTATCTCAGTATTTGAACTTCTGCCACACTTGTTTCTCCTGCTCTTCTAGGGTTACATCAAATTAATTTCATCTCTGTCTTGTTTGTTAGAGAAAAATAAAAATCTGCTTCTGAACCTCAGAAATTCCAGGAGACTGTGAGTTGTGGTTGTTTGTTCTCTGTGCGCCTGCTCAGTCGCTCAGTCGTGTCCGACTCTTCGTGACCCCATGCACTGTAGCCCACCAGGCTCCTCTGTCCATGGGATTTTCCACACAAGCATACTGAAGTGGGTTGCTGTTTTCTTCTCCATTGTTCTCTGTATCCCAACTCTAAACTGACTATTTAAACCATAAAATATACCTCAAATTACCTCAGTCAGCATTCATTTCTCCTATAGCAACATTTCTGATTGTCCTGTTATTTTTCATGTATTAATGAAAATGATGCGCCTCTTACCTTCCACCTTTGACACTACTGCCTTTGCATTGATTTTTTTTCAATTTACCCAATTTACTTTTTTTTGCTGACTTTATCGGTTCTTCACCTCTGATTTCTTCCCTGACCTGAGAACGTGCTCATGTACCCTACCTAAATTCTCCGTTTAATGATGGTGAACCACAAGGTCCCTAGATGTCTTAAGTCCATAGTCGGGTTAAGGAACCTGTTTACTCAACATTTTCACTACATTTAGCTGTTTTCATCCTGACTTTGATCTCATGAAACTGCTCCTCCACTGATGATTTTCTGTGATTTTTTTTCTTAAAATCAATCTCCATTTAGACTATCTCTCCCACGGTATTTGTCACTAGCCTTTTCTCTTTAAAAGAGTCTCTATGTTTCCTGTATTTCCTGCTCTCCCAAGTCTACGATTAATTTGACATTATTTGCCAGTTGCTGTCCTTTAAATGAAGATGATACCTAGCTAAGATCATTCATGATTCATTACAAGCACAGTGGTAATCAAAAGGGACTGGGCATATAGTCAGATATCCCCGTCTGGGAATAGAGGAGATAGAATGGTACCAGGTGATCATCTGAGAAATTAGAAGCCTCACCAAGGAACAGAAAAGATGCTGAAATCGTATTAAGACTCTCTGTGTAAAGTCATAAAAGACCCAAAGTCTAAAATCCCAGAGGACAGTTTTGGAATATCCACTGTCAATTATTTAACCTATGCTCTGTAGGGACTCAAAATTAGTAGGAACATGTTAATGTATGACAAAAACCACTACAATATTGTAAAGTAATTAGCCTCCAACTAATAAAAACAAATGAAAAAAAAATTAGTAGGACCAAACTTCTTTAAACATGGCTCTTTGGTCAGTTCTCAAACTGAAATATTTATGTAGTAGGAGAATTTTTTTTTCAATTCTGCAAGGAGACTTTGATCTACTAAAAACTGTAAAGGGCATACAGGCTTTCACTGTCCATGAGAAAGAAAATCTCATTAGAAGATGGAATAACATAAAGGAGAGTATAGTATACATTTCATTTTTATGGCCTTGGTGGAAAAAAGTCATCAAGTTAAAACTGCTTTTGTGCTACAAATTCACATGTTGACAGCTGAGTCTGAAGAATTTAAACTGTGGGAAAACAGTCCACAGTTCTGTACTTCATCTCTGCAAATGTGCAGTTCATTTGAGAATTCAGTTATCAGTCTCTCAGCACTAAATGTGAGAACTGATTTTGCCAAATTAGCACAAAGGTTACATTTGACAGGGTGCAAAAACCAGAACTGCTGCAAGATGGAGGATGCAGACTTATCTGACATAGAACCAAGGGGCTGTGTGATCACAAGCCTCATGAAATTAAATACCGCTGAAGGACAAAATTAGAAACATAATGTTTATACATACATGCATAAAATAAATGAGTTTTGAGGCTTCGGCATAGACTACACAATCAGTTGTGCTGCCAGAAGTAATAAATTACCTTGCAAGGTACTTTTTGAATGGGCTTCCAGGCTATTAAAATTAATTTTGGTACAGGAATTACTTTACTTTTATCAAATAAGTTCAAACCAATTCAATTACTTTGGAAGAATTAGTTGGCCTACTTTAGATGACTTTTGTTTTTTTTTTTTTTTGCTAAACTGAACTTAGAAAAAGAAAAACTGTTGTCGAGAATTAGATCTTGAAATGTCTCAATTTTTATGGAATTTCACTATTTGCATAATTAAAACTCACTAAAGTTTCAATTTTTGTAGAAATAAAGGCTTAAATTCAGTTTCACTTTACCAGGAAATAAATCACTTTGATGGCAAAACATGAGAGAGATAGAATCTATTGATTTTTTACATAACTTAAAAAAAATCAGTTATGCTAGCCTTTAGTTTAAGATTGCTAGATATTAGGACAACATTTGATTTCAGAAAATGTACTGGTATGAGTTTGACCTGATGTGCCAAAATTCACTTTTTTTTTTGCTTTATAAATTCTATTTTAATTCTAGCTTTAAACTTCAATTCTAATTTTGGTTTACTAACAGTGTGAAAATTAGGTAAAATTGCCCTCTTCATAGTAAAAAGAAAAAAAACTTTAACAGTAAAAAGAAAAAAAGTTTGCCATGCTGTAGTAGTAATTTTTTTAATATTTATTATGTAAATATTATCACCTAGTATTCTTGTGCTTATTAGCCATGAACAAGAATATGGAGCAGATGGATGGCTTAACCCACATTTATTTTTCTATTTGATGAGCTAATATTTGATTGCCAATATTACTATGTCTTGAACTAAGGTTGGAATGCTATATGATATAAGAAAAGACTATTATCTATTCACCTTGACCTGGGACCTATTAATATAGTACTACCTACTTCTTATAGTTAAAAAAAAAAAAAAGAAAAAGGACTACATGATAATGTGTATAAAGTACTAAGCAAGTGATTGGCATGCAGTAAGCACCTAATAAATGTAAGTTTTTTTCTCTATGCTTTATCCCAAATCCATTGGGTAGAGCATGCTTAGTAAGCATTTTTAGACTCATTCTCTGAGTATAACATTTGAGTCAGTACAGTCAGAGTTGGGTTTAATATATGAAACCACATAGATCCTTGAGAGAGCCAATGCCTAGTACACCCAAACAGACCTAAATGTGGTGCCCAGAGTGTGAGGCTTTCCCACTTACTTCAGGAAGACCTGTTTTCTTTTAGTGGAATTTCCTAAAAGGATTGTGCCTGTGGATAAAGCAACTCATTTGCTTTTTTTTTTTTCCTTTTCTGTAATTGAAATGGTATGTGAGTCATCATTCTACTTCCTCTCACTTCTAACATAGTCAGACCAAGATAGCCTGCACTTACTTGAATCAGCATGGTTTCCTCTGTGGTCATGCAGTAGGATATTTCATGTTCTCTAATGATTCAAATTTCTCTACTGGATATATTTTTTTTGAAAATGGAACCAAGAAATAAAACCGCAAATATCTGAGGGCACAAATTAATACTGCATGGTACCAGATACCTAATCTCAGATCACTTGTACAGCTCTTTTGATACACTATTCTAATTCTACCGTCTTTAAAGGCATGAACTGTAACAGAGTTATCCAACTGGATTTTTTAATAAATAAAATTAATCAACTAGTTTGGCATAATGTCAGACTTATTAATGATGCCATTTTGAACTGTTTCTCTGATGAAAGTTAATAATATTTTGCTGACTTGGGAGGAAGTAGTCCACTGGAAGCCTTATATTATGGTTAATATGAGCACAAGGTATTATACATGTGGACTGACCATTCAGTTAAAGGAATAAGAACAACAACTAAACATCCTCTATGAAAGAAGCAACAAAGATAGTCT